TCACACCTCTCACCATGATTGTGGTGTACACTTGTCTCTTTAAAAACAAACAAGCCCACCCCATCCCCCTCCAAATCCAAAGACAAATGATATTATACAGGAGGTTTCACCCACTGATTGGAACAACAATTTTGTATGCTCTTATATTCCTGCATGTTCCATATTCTTATCTGTGTTCCATATGAATTATTTTTTAAATAAATGTTTCCCTTATCAAGGAAATCAATTTTCACTTGCCCCAGTGGGAGTGTTAGGGCTGTGCATCATGTAGGACCAAGCACTCAAATGGAAAGCAGAAAGACTGTGGCTTAAATTTTAGAGGTGACTCAAAGTTTGGGATACTCAGTTGGCCTACATTATGGAAGACCCCAATTCTCAGATTTTTCAGCACTTTCTGAAAATTGGTCTGTTTTAATGTGTTTCAGGTTGGATGACAGAAATAACTAAGAACTTCTCAGAGCCTAAACCTGAGTTCTTAAAACTGTTTAATATTGGCAGGTCTCTCTTAGGCAAAGCCTCTTGGAGACAGAGTCTTGAAATCAAAGAGGCAGTTGCACTGTGATTCAGTGAGATTTTTGCCTGTTGAATTCAGCAGAAATTTTTTCTGGGAAATGAGTGCAACATAATTGCTTATTATTTGCATTCGCAGTCCCCAAATTTAGCTTTTGATAAGATATGTCTCTCACTATAATTAATTTTGGATTTCTTCCTTCCTCAGACACTGTGTTTCTGGAGTGGGGCTAGGCAAAGGTCAAGGACAAGAACTTTCACTCAGTGGAGAAGTAGATGACAACTCTCTCTCTCCAGAAGCTTGCTATGAATGTAAAATCAATGGCTATCCCAAGAGAGGAAGGAAGCGCAGAAGCACTAATGAAACTGCAAATGAAGCAGAGGTAATTGACCCTTTTCAGGGGGAAGGGGTTTGGTGTTATCTTGTGAAAAGCAATCTTAGAAGGACTTGGGCCAAGAAACAATCCCACAAGAAAAAATTATACGCCAAAGTAGACCAAAGAGCTGGTTTTGGACTACAGGTGTCTGGGGGGGGAGGCTGTTCTGAAATTGTTCACTGTCACTAGACTAAGGTCATCTTCTGCAACCCTCACCTTTACCTGTCACATCAAACGGTAAAACAACCCACCCAGCTATTTATAGAGGTTAATGCACTCCCCAGCAAAGCAGGCTCTTGATGTTAGAGGATGGCAGATAGGTAAAAAAAATAAATAAATAAATAAAAATGTGTGTGACCTTGTGGCCAGGAAGGCAGCACTGTTGTTCAGGGTGAGGACCCCACCTAGCAGGACCTGTCACCACAGGCCTTCCTGGGGCTTGTCCACACCCTTGCAGTCACTCAGGCTGGGCTGCCAGCCCACGAATGAAGCTGTCAGCGGGGTCACTTGTGGTGCTCGCTGCTGGTCCCAGTGGAAAGACAGGAGGCTGAGCTTCAACTGCCATCACTAGGAAGTCCCTGGGGACAGTGGCAGTTTCCATTTGCCTGTGAGTGGGTAACTGTGTGTCAGTAAAGTGCTTAAAATCTATTGTGCTCACCCCGCTCTACTCTTTCCTATCTGTTTTCATTGTTTTTTTAGCAACCAAAAGTTAGTGAGTGGTTTCAATGCCCACATTTATATCTGGGTGAAGACTGGTCTGCTGTGTGACAAGTGACATGTGTTGTCTTTATATGAAGAACAGGCACCCGTTTTCATTCATCCTGTATGGAGATATTTTTCTTTAGTTCTTAGAAAACATTTCTCAAAACGGGATTAAAGTAACTCCCCCAGCTGGGGTTTGTTCTGAATTGATCACAGCAGTGAAACAATATGGCAGTTGTAATGCTGTTTGTTCTTCAGCTGTGCTTGCGGCACAGGTGTCCAAAGTCTGCCTGCTCCCAGCACCACCCCTCCCACTGTGAGTGCAGAAGTTGTGGCAGAGGCATGGTCCTACAATGTGTCATGTTACTGTAATCTCTCTTGAGCAAAACTCCCTGCATTACCTAAGGAGTGCCACGTTGGCTTATTTTAACTTCTTGTAATATAAGGTCAGAAATTTCTGCTTGAGTCATACAGTGCAGTGTCCCACTCAGGTCACTAGACTTAAACCTTGTTCACACTAATTATACTTAGACTTTACAAACAGTAAACAGCTTGCAGAAGTGTTCACAGTCATTGGATGTCCCAGTTCTTCATCCTTTCTATGGTGACAATGACATTAAAGGTGATGGGACCTGCCCTGATCTGGCCAGAGAAGCAGCAGGTCATGGCAGGTCTTAACTGTGTAGGAAAAAGTATGTGTCTGTGTGTGCAAATGCGTGCATTCTATTCAAAATATAACCAAGAGACTCTGCACACTCCTGTAAAATGTTGTCACACCATCACTACCCTGAGTTGTTGCGTGTACTCTGCTCGCGTGTGTATGCCGAAGAGCATATTTTCCACATGTGAATACAGAGGATTTGGGAGCCAGCGAGCCATTTCCATTAAGTGCTCAGTGAGTGGCTCTCTGCTAACATGGGAAGGCAGGAGAGTGCTTTTGCCCTGAAGAGTGGATACGTGACTGTACTTTATTCTGACCACTCCTAAGACACCAAGAGTGGTTTAGACAGATGATCTTACAGAATGTCCTTTTAAAAGTTATTTCATTAGTAACAGATGCACTGGGCAAGAACTACGCACACAGGCACCTGTGAAACATTGACAAAGCCGACTAACATTGTTTGTTCTTGTGCAGGATCAGCAAGAGTCGGAGCCCCCGATCAGCCTTGCCAGCTGGGATATTGAGAAAGCAGCAGTCTTTTCTATCAACATCTCTGATCTCAGTAACAAAGATCGCATCCTGAAACTGCTTCCTGCCCTCACAACACTGACAAACCATAACCGATACTTAATTGACTCCGGAAATGAAGATGGTTTCTTTAGAATCAATAAGAAGGACGGGATAAGTTACCTTCATTTCACAAAGAAGAAGCCAGTGCCTGGAAACTATTCATTACAAATCACTAGTATTCCACTCTATAAAAAGAAGGAACTTAACCAGCTTGAAGAGAAACATGACAAAGACTACCTCAGTGGTGAGCTGGGAGATAATCTGAAAATGAAAATTCAGATATCACTTCATTAATTCATCAACCAAAGACCAAATAATTAAACCAAAGATAGATAGGTAGGAATGAATATTCCTCCCAATCAGATTCTCCATATCATAGGTACAATCTTACATGAGTACATTTGTATGAATGAGCACTATTATATTATTACATAAACAAGGTACAGGATGAATACCCTAGCTCAAAACAACCACTTTCTCAGGCTTTTAACTGTAGCTGAGCTACCTTGATATGTTGAATCTTGAAAACTGGGACTTTAACCATTGGAAGTTGGCCACTGATGCTGAGACACATCATCATTTCAGCAGAGGTACAAGAATGTGCTTTCAACTGATGGACAGCTCTATTTTTGTAATTCTTAAACTTTGCTTCTCCAACTACAACTTACTAGGTCAGCCATTTATGATATCCATTTGGTGCTAGTAAATTTTCAACCTAGATTTATAAATGCACTGTAATATTTACACAACTTAGAAGCCAAAATTGCCATTATTCAGTCTAAATACTTCAATCAACCAAAGTTAGCTCAGTAGTTTATTTCAGTTATGCCTATAATACATTACATGTAAATTAAGTGTGTGTATACTGTAATCATGTTATTTTTATCAATGAAGCATTTGTAAACTAGATTAATAATACCCTTAATGTGAGGGTTTGTAATGGTGCTTATAAGACCAACTACTTGTTAACTGTATACACAAACCTGATGATAAAGTTTCTGTGACTTGCCAAAATGCACTGAGGTCAGTAGGGACCATTAAACATTCTCAAAAGTCAGATGACAATCAGTGCCATCCTACACCATGACATTATGTAATGTGTTAAGAGTACCCATAGTCATTCATATCAACAAGGGTTCAATGTCATAAATGTCACAATAAAACAGTTTTTTTTTTAGTTTATTCTGTGGCCTTGTGTTCTTGCTAAAAGTATGATAAACTGAGTTTTTATGTTTCAGACATTTTTGGTAGGGTTGGTTGTGTATCTGTGCACAGGTGATTTCTTCTTGAAGGCATGCTGCTATCATTTGTTCATTCTTCATGCAAAGGAAGAACTGAAGAAATACAGAAACCTTCACAAATCTAAGCAGCAGTGGAACTCTGTAAAATAATTGTGTGGCTCCAAAAAGTGCGTTAGAACACTTCCAATGACTTGATGTGAATAATCCTGTCAATCAGTAACTTGATTGCCAAAACGTGCAGAAGTGGATGTTAAATCATTATACAAAAAAAAAAAAAAAAATCAAAGTTGTTTGCTAAAACTGTTTTGACTTGTTTAAAATATTCCATTCTTTTACCCCCACTTCAACAGCTGTTGTCAAATGATCCAAGACTGATTGCAAAAGGGATAATCCAATACCAAAAGCAACCACTAGTTGTAGGTGGGCTTTAATAACAAAGGAAATTTTCAGTGATGTCCATGTTCTTGTATATGCAAGTGCTGTGGTGCATCTTTTAACAGCAGCAGGATGTTCTACTGAGGTTTGATGCTACAAAATCTAGGGGGGGGAAATGAAGAAAGTGACTGGATAGCATTGTAGTTGACAGAGGGAACATACATTAAGCTATAACAACTTTGAAAGGGACATGTACTGTAACAATTTACCCTGAGTTGTATTATTTTCTGTAATTAGATTTCAGCTGCCTTGGATTTCTTCTATAACAAATACAACTATATGGAAAGGAGCTTGGTGCACAGGGTTAATTTGATATTTGTAATGGACTATTTCTGGATTTTATTTGTTAGTGTGCCAAAATCTTGAACAGTGTACTTTTTCCAAATATTGCATAACTATGGCAAAACATAACCAGAGCTTTACAGTTGTACATGCCACTTCAGTTTCAGCAGGTTGGGAGTGTTTTCTGATGCCAGTGGCAGTGTGCAAGATTGTATGGTTTCTGGTTAAGGTTTGGGTATTTTCTCTCCAGCCCATGAACATTAAGAGGAAGTGAGAAGAGTAGTTTTAGAAAGAACTGTCAGGACTGTGTCAAGCAGAGTTAGTTTGGCACTGAAGCTGCTGTATAACACCTTATTGTGCTGAAGCCTTCAGTTGTGTTGTGTTCCAGCAGTCCCAGTGTTGTCTGCGCAGTGGATCACCTTTGTTAAGCTGCAGAAACAAAGGAGAATCGGAGTATCATTATTTTGTGCTCCAGGGAGGAGACCAGTTTGAAGTAGTTCTATTTTTCTATCAACTAAAAGTCAATTTTCAAGTAATTCCAATATTGTGCTATAAAATATTGACAGCATCTCTTTTAGTGGTTTAACAATGGAAGGCACACTCTTGCCTGCCTGTTTTAGTTGTCATATATGTATAATTATTTACAATTGCTTGAATTTCTGCAGTTTTCTTAAATTCCCAGTGAAGCACAAAGCTTGCATGATAACATTGAATGAGACCTGCAATTAAAAAGTGGTTTGTAAGCTACAAGTGTGATTTAAAATATTTTCTTGTATTTGATTTGGCAGTGGGATCCCAGAGAGACTCTAAGCACTAGGTAGACTAAAGCAGAGGTCTTTTCCAATGTGTATGCTTTTGCAATTAAAGGCTATTTTTCAACTTTGAGGAAATAAATATTTGAAATAACCATGTGCTCTGTTGCGATTGTGCATATGACTTGGCATGGATATATCCATGCTTGAATGCATGGATAATAAATAGAGGTTTTGGTTAACTGTTTAACTAAGATGGTTTCTTACTGTACATATCAAATCATTCTTGTTGTGTATTGTAACTGTATCTTGTAAATTTGACAGCTGACGTGTATTTTGGCAGAACATGACTATTTCTACAGTCTCCCTTTTAACACTGACTTTCAAAGGACCCAAAGTGTTTGCTTTCTTACAGCAGGTCCCAGCGGGTCACACTCAGGTTTTCTCTGAAATAAATTATCTGCATGGTGATTCAAGTCCAGCTTTGTGCTTTGGAAGGGCAAGACTCCTGAGCACAGACAGTTGTCAGCTGTTTGGGGAGCAAGGCACTACGACTGTCACCTAACAGCTGCCTACAACTCCTGGGACCCTGTTGGGGCACCTCTGGTCTCTGCCAGCAGCACTGCGACAGGTAAGTGCAGCACAAGGCAGCCTGCAGCTGCTCTAAACCAAGCTGGAGGGGGAGGCGTTGGCATTCTAAAAGCCTTCTTACCACCTTTAAAAATTCATGTTAGCTGCGAAAGAATCATTAGGATTCCCCATTTAAACTGATGCTGTACTGGAATCATCAAAACCTCACAGTACTCTTATGGGTCTGATGGCTTCTGCCAAAATGAGTCTGGTCATGAATGGTTATAAATGAGCAAGGTTAACAGCTTATGTTGCAGTGTGGTACTGCTACTTCCTGAGTAGGTATGGGAGGGGAAGGAGAAAGCTTCCCTCCTCTGAACTTCACCATTGTGACAAGATAATCCTGCATTTTGAGTTGCAAAGAGGAAGCCAGAGTTCAGCAGCTGTTGAGGCCACGGCTGCCTGTGGAGCCACAGGAGCTGCGTACCCATTTTGCAGTGGTCCTGCAGCTGACCTGCATAAGGTAGCACAGAAGGTAACAGGACAGACACACGTCTCAAAGCTGGGACGTCTGAGCCCAGGATCTTGCCTACTTCACCCTCTCTCTGGAGCAAGTCTTTAAGCTCAGTCTGCTTTGGTTGGCTTCATGCTTGTGGGAGTGGCCAGCAGCTAAGGCTAAGATTGAATGTACAGTGGGCTAATCCAGTAAATCCAGGTTGGCAGTGTCCTACTGGAACATTTGCCCAGAATAAGCCCTCGTTTTTTCATGATGTTGGAGGATAATGCTTAGCTAAAACCGTTCAGAAAAACCCCAGGGATTCTAATTGTTGACAGTGGCCTGTGTTGGATGGCTGCAGAAACCCATGCAGCCCCTCTGGGAGCTCCTGCAGTTACACGTTACACGTTGTTGTGGAGGGGGCTCTGCCTGCAAGCCTGTGTGTTGACATCACTGGTCTGGGCATCATGTTTGATTCCAAGTGCCCACAGTCACACTTGCTCTGGGTGCTGTGAGAGCTAAAGAGGGAAACTTTCAGAGAGGGTGAGCATACAGCTCTATTTGGGGGAAGAATATGGCATCAGTTAACGCTAATGTAAATGGCAAATGATTGCAGTGAGTGCAGTAGTAACAAGAGGGAGGAGAATGCAGCAGTTATTCAGTTGCCCAAAACACCCCAATGCACGTGGCTTTTGCTTCCCCCACAGACTGGACCTGTGCTGTCCCTGTTACCTTGGAGGTGTTCAGAGGCAGGACCTCATGGTGCTGCTGCTGTGTTCAGGGAATGCCTTGCTGAGACCCTGGTGCCCCCAGAGAGACCGAGAACAATGGCTGGTCTCTCTCAAGTGGGTCATGCAGTTTGGTTTGCCTAAAGATGAGACCATCTCTTTTGCAGCAAAATCTTGAAGATGATGACTTCAGCTCTGACAAATTCCAGCCATCTACTTCTGCTGTCCTTAAAACTTGCCAAATACTTCACACCCTTGTAACAAATGCTTTTGAGGAATACTGTGCCCAAGCCAACTCCTCAGTTCAGAGCAGCATTTAGGCTGGAGAGGTCACTGCAGTGTTGTTTAATGTCAGGCTCCCCCTTCCATTTCTAACGGAGCAGAGGCTGAGGCTGCTCGGGCACTGGGAGCGTGCTGGTGAAGCTGGGTCAAAGCCTTGCACTGGTGCAGGCAGGCCCACTGGGTGCTCTTGCTGCTTGTTAGCACACAGCCAAGTCTTAAACCTGCTCAGACACATGCTTACAGGAGTATGTAAAAATGTATATTTTTATTTCTAAAGAGTCTAGAGGGAAAACTTTCTCTCAGTGCTTCCAGTCTGAATTCACACTTGTGCTAACCTTTTGTTAAGTACCCAGGAAAGGGTTTTTCTCCTTCCCTCTCTTGGGCTGGACCCTTCCCTCCTGCGTGGCAGCAGCACGGGTCCAGCCCTCGCCCTGGCTCCGTGCTCACATCTGTGGGTTTGTTTGTTTATGAGCTTCTCTATGGCTCCCAGGGCTCTAGGATATGAGTGCCTCAGACATGCGTGTTGATCCTCACTACACTCTTGTGAGGTTAGGATGTGTTTGTCATCGTCTTTTACAGGGCAGAAACCAAGAACCAGATGTTTCAGTTTGGAAGAGCCTATAGGCCATGGCTGTCCTGCCTGGAGCAGCTCTGAAGTGCTGGAGTGTCCTCAGAGCAGAGAACATGGAGCCACATGGGCTCATCTGCTGTGACAGCCCTGGCATGCATGAAGCCATGGGAATTGTCCAGCTGCGAAAAATGTCCCAGCACCAGTCCTCTGGGTTGGCCATTACCCCACAGAGCTCCACATGGGATGCTGCCATTGCAGGTGCTGCAGCACTGGTTAGAAAAATTCAGAATGGTGGTTCCTGGTAGTTTTCTGCTGGAAAAAGGATTCTGGATGAGCACCCAGGTCAGCAGAGTGCATAGAGGTAATCAGAAGTGACACTGTTGGTGAGCAGGGCCTGGCTCTGCCAGCTTCCCCTTTTCATCGCTAAAGCTGCTGGATGAACCAGCCAGGAAAACAGGGCTACTGCTGAGTTTTCTTTGGAGGTTGATTCTTTATTCCTATCATTCCTATGTGAGGTGCTTCAGGGTGATTCTTTTTTTCCCTGTGACAACCAAGAAGAATTTTAGTCTATTTTTTTAAGCGTCTGTGTGGAGCTCGATTTGATTATAGATGTAGCAGCACACTGTGTTATTCAGCTTAGACAGGTAGGAAAGCTGTCTGAACTCTTTAATGTTGTATGTATGCTTGCAGTTTTGTATAAATGCATTGTTATGTTAATCATACTAAATATTAGAGCCGTGAGAAACATCTATAACCAAACACAAAACAGGTGAAACTCCCCTGGTTTTGGGTTTCATTACATACTCAAGGCTCAGGCCAGGTTTGTTGAGGTTCATGAACCTCTCTGAAGCTGGGCTCAATTTCAAGCAATCCTGGGCCGAGTTTCAGGCAAATCTGGTCCAAGCTTTGAGTAAATTTGGAACAAATTTTAGGTGAATAAGAGATGATTTATGATTTTAGGTTGAAACCATACAAACTGTGAAGTCTTTGCTTCGTTTCAATCTGTAACCAGGAAACCTTGGCATTTTGGCTGAGTTTCACTTTGATTTTGAATTTTGGCTGAGTTTCACTTTGATTTTGAATTTTGACCCTAAAAGCAAAACAGCTGGGACAAGGAGGTGCGTCTTGAGAATAAACAGTGCAGAAACTGGTTCACTGGGTGGGAACCCAAAGCCCTGCACCACGCTGAGCACACACCTGTGATGGTCCACCAGCCACGGGGCTGTTCCCACCCTGAAGGTGCTTGTCCCTGTGCATGTCCACTGTGCATGTCCGTCCAGCAGTCTGACACAGCCAGTCCTGCTCATGTATGTCCTCCAAATAACTTAGCCTTCCCCAACCTCTGAATGTGAGGTTGTATGTACAACTCCTAAGTCTGGAGTGTACTGACTTCAGGTTTGACTTGTGCAACAATGATCCAATCTATACTGCATGTTTGTGTTTTAAGGGGTAAATTCGGCTAAGAAATCTACACAGGGGAACAAGGCCCAGGGTCATCATCCCCATGCTGTGTTAAAACATGGCTTGCAACCAAGCTTATGGGGAAACAGACTTTCTACCTGTTGCTTCAATGAGCTCCTGAGATTCAGAGCACTGCAGCACTGGTTCTCCAGCCTGGAGATGTCCAGAGGGTCTAAGAAGTCTCAGCTTGCCAGTCCTGCCAGGTGGTCCACAGCACAGATACCTTTAACAAGAAAAAGAGATGAAAACTCTCTTATGCAGTTTTCTTCAGATTCATTCAGGCATTTTAAAGGGATCTCCAGACATAAACGTGTCTTTTTAAATAAAAAAGTATGTATCATCATTAAACCCCTTGATCATGAGATCCTTTTTGCGCCAAACATAAACTGTAGCTGGAAAATATTTGCGCAGGACCTGGCTTCAACTGTCAGGCAAAATATGAACAGCTGAACTGGGAATGTAAGTGCTGAGTCCAGAGTAGAAGGTGATAGCACAACTTGCTGCTTTGAGAAACACATGACTGGAGGGATGGGCAGGAAGGGAGAAAGAAAGTGCCAGTGCGGAGCAGACAAGGAACCGCACTGTCAGTCTATATCCACATCAGTGCAAAGCTGAAACAACAGGGAACTGGGAGAAGGGAGAAAGGGAAAGAGCGACTCAGCAGCGCTGGCTCTGCCAGCTGAGGGCCAGCTCTTCAAAGGATTTTTTGAGATGAATCCACAGCCACCTGCCCTTGTGGTAGCCAGCTCCACAAGGCTACCAGCTTTAATGTAAAGCCTTCCCCATTGTTTGGCACTCCGAAACCAACGAGCACTTGGAAGGACTGTAGAGCTGGCCACAGGGCTTTTTGTACCATGTCTGCACTAAAATGGATCCAGTGAGGAGAGCAGGGGCGCTGTCCCATCAGTGACTGGAGGTGGAGCCTAGTGGGGAGCTCTGGAACTGCCTGGCTGTGGGCCCCTGGCAGTGACAGGGATGTCACTGGCCTAGGTTGTCCACTGGCAAAAGGGCGATGAGGATACTTCTCAGGCAAAAAGCATACTAAGGAAGACTGTTGAAATGCCCAGAGAGGAACATGGCTTTCTTTGCCTTGTTGTTTGTATAGCTGTATATGGCCAGGTTTCTTTTTGTGCTCAGTCCTGAAAACAATTAATTTTCCTTCTTTGCTGCCTTCCTGCTGTGCTCATTCTTTTATGGATGAGGAAAGACTCAGGTTCACCCACCTTATCTGAATCCCGAGGCAGAGGTCATTGTTCTGGGACAGAAATCTCTTGCTTACTTACCAACTCCTCTCTGCACTAGCAAAGACACCGGAGAAGATAGAAGTAAAAATACATAGTCTCTTACTTAGCTGGGAAAGTTACAGATATTTCAGCTTGTCCAAGCACAGAGATGTAATCCAGGCATGACTGGGTTGATGTGTAAGGCAAAGTCCTTAAGAAGAGCTAAACTTGGTGCACATCCTTCCAGTGCAAAATTTGTCCTTCTGGGGGTAGTTATATTTGTGATATTGTGAGCAGAACTGGAAAATGTATTCTAGAAAGCATTTTCATATCAAGCAACTGCTTATGTGCAATAGCAGGAAAAAGGCTTTTTTTTTTTTTTTTTTTTTTTATCTGCCTGTTGTGGTTTTGGGGCTGTGGGACTGTGGCTCCCCTTTGGAGGGTGTAGTCCATCTGTGGGGTGGTAAGAATTTACCAAATGAGCCAGACAGAAAAATCCCCAAAGCCTGTCAGGACCAGATCACTATGTGACCTTCCCAAGTACCTAGTATAGATTATTAAGTCCTTAAATACAATTTCTCATTTACTGAATTCAAAAGAAGGGTAACCAAGCAAGAAAGAATTTAACAGATTTCCCATTCCCCTTGTTGAAATGGTACTTGCCAAAGGCATAAATCCCCTTCACTGAAAGCTTTTCACTATCATTATTTTAATGCAGTTTTCAAATCTGCCACTGTAAAAGATGTCTCAATACTTTCTCAAGTGTTCTCACAGCACTTGGAAGAAGTAGCCACAATAAAAGATGTGAAGCGCTTTCCCTAAAGCTCTAAAGTCAAATCACCATGGAGGCAAGAGGTTGCCACGTGTTCAACCAGTGACTGTTTCAACTCCTGGGGTGCAGCTGTGGAGTGAGACAATGTGAGGCCAGAGCTGGAGAATCCCGACTGGAGACTCAGGCCGAGAAAGCTGCTGTACAACACAGCACAGTTTGGGTGAGGGATGGACAGGAGTGTGAGAAAAGACTCCTGGGGTGACACGTTCTTTATTTTCAAGCACCATATCACGTCCACCTTGCATGGATTAAGACTGAAAGAGGCACCCAGCAATGAAGGGGAAGAGAGGGGGAAAAAAAGGCTGAAAAATGTCCATGGTGCATGTTCTCAGAGCAAGGACAAGATGCTTCCTATTAGAAAATAGAACTGTATTACAGCTAAGTCAGATCTGCGTGAACTTGCCCATTGTTTGTTTGTCCCTGTAATTTGATTACATAATTTATGAGGCTGAATTCACCAAAGATCATACTGTGATCTATACATAGGCCTACTACATACTCCTATATCCCTAAATATGCTGGGAACGAGAACATTTTCTTCTCCACAATGACAGCACAGATAAAACCATGGAAGGAAATTGTGGGGTCTCAACATGACCGCTGGGCCCAGGTTGAAGGCCAAGTCTGGCAGGAGTTGCACAACCCTCTGGTGATAAAGGCCAATTAATTGTGTTGGGCTCATTCATGCTAACAAATAGCACAGTTCTGGGTTCCCCACAGACCAGCCTAGAATTCATTTAAAAAATAGAGAATTGGTAAAGGCTTTACTCAAGGGAACCTCTCCAGCAGGCCCCTAAGCATTAAACACCTCATGTCCCTTATGATCTCTAACCAGTCCTGTGAGAGAAGCAGCTCATTGCTTTGAGCAGCAGACAGGAAGGCGGGATGAAAGAGAGAAATCCTGGCTTTACTGGTAACAGAGCCAAACCTCCAGCCCTGCAAAATCTGCAAGAAACTGAGCACTCCATTTGCTGTGGGTTTTAGCGATGCCATCAGCTTGTCTCAGCCAGGCAGTAGGACACTGTTCAAACCTAATTCAAGAACAAAGTCCAGAAAAAATAGTTGTTATCCGAGTTGCTGTGGTTGTGCTAGAGTTGCAGCTTTATAGCACAGGCTGGTTCAGCATGGTCACATGCTGATACCTGCCTGCTACTTGTGCAGGAGCGATGTACCATGAGGGTCTCGTGCATCCACTCCAGAGATAGAGCTCACATGGCAGAGATTAGCTATGGGTGCAGAGACAGCTGTTTCATTAATGCAGAAATGGCATTTTCAAGGCATCGTTAGTCTAAAGGCAAGTGAGGTGCCTCCACCTGCCATAAAGAAAATGCATGTGAATGCACAGAATTCTGTTATACGTGGATGTGGATCCTGATACTAGTTGTTCCCCTTTTTTGTTTCCTTGGAAATGAGAATAAAAGTGAAGGGCAACGGTTATTTTGGGTACTCTTAGCATAGGTTTGTCCAGATCTGCTCTTCTTGGGTAGATTCCTGTAATGGCAGGTAGGTTTGATTGTGGGTCACTCTGTGCATGCTTCACAGCTCCAAAAATGTGTCAGCAAACAGATCGCTTGTGACCCAGTGTCCTGTTCAGAATAGCTGGATTATGTTTATAAAGTGAGTAAGAAAGATGATGGTTGATCAGTATAACATAAACTATGGCATGGAAAATGAATTTTGAATGAAATGCACAGATAAATCATTTATCCTCACCAATACCCTCTCTATCCTGGTAATTGAGACCATGTGTTGTGCTGCAAACAATAACTATGGGAAATTACTCATGATTCTTCTTTCATAAACTTGGGAAATGAAAGTGATGGGAAGTATGACCATCTTTTTTTTTTTTTTTTTTTTTTTTTTTTTTTTTTTATGTTAACAGCTCTAAATTATTGGGGTGGGAAGAAAATGTCAATAGAACATAAAAGTGCTTTGTATAATGTTCATATTTGCTCATACTTTCAAATCCACTGTGGCTTATTAGTTCATGGGAAAAATGACAAAAAGGAATAAAACCCAGAAAATGAATCCAGTATCAACATCTTGCCTCTATAGTAACAGAGAAATTGTAACTTTTGGGTAAAAAGTGACAATATTAGGAAATGTGTGTTGGGCAATTGTGGTGATTAACCCTCTGCATCCCCTGGCAGCTCCACCTTCCTGCTAGCCTAACACATTGCTGTGGATTAAAGAGTGCACATTGCTCTGTGCTGCTCCTTGTGTTAGAAGCCTGGAGCTAGTGAGGCCCTTAACCTCTGTTTCAAGAGTTTATTGCTCAGCTGTAAAAATTCTCCCAAGGCTGAAACTTGACAGAAAAATGTCTCCGCCTGGGAGGAGTTTCTGTTCTGAGTTTGGTTTGAATTAATTCAGCTCTTTTCCACTTGCAGAAGGACAATAGAGCAGGATTCCCTCTCTCTGCTTTTTTCTTTTTAAATCCTGCCAGGGCAGTATATGACAGGCGACTCAGACCACAGTCCTCTCTGCAGCTGTGGCACAGGGTCAGTGCTGGCCGCTGCAGCAGTTTCCCTGCCCTGTAACAGGGCAGACTCCATCCCTTTGCTTGCACTGATGCTGGCTCATACGGTGACTTATGCCTTCTCTGAGCCAAGGTTGCTGAAGGCCATCTTGGCTATGGTGCAAGCTGAGGAAGTCCACCCTTGCTGCTATTCCTCAAGGGACTGTCTTGCTGCAATGCAGAACCACTGGGGCCACACCTCCATGGGGCTTCTGACTTCTCCCGGAGCAGGCTGGTGTGCCAGCAGGAGCCTGTCCTCCTGTGGTGGAGGTGCCCTGGTCAGCTCTGGGCTTTCTGTGGGGTACTGGGTGGTCAATTTCCTGGATAAAGGGCTTGGCCCAGAGGAAGCAGCTCTCTGCAGACCTCTGTCCGAGCCAGGCAATTTGTTTTGAGAAGCAAGAGTGCTAAATCTATTACCCTTCTTGCACCAGCTGCCTGTGGGGCTGATAAATCTATCATAACAGTCAACTCTCTATGAATGAAGTCAGGCCCCACCAAAGTCAGTAGCTGAACTACCATTGATTTCACTGGAACAAGGTTTTACCCCGATCCTTGAAGTGCCCCTGGGAGCTCACCCATGCTCAGCGCAGCCATCCACAGCTCCAGCGAGGGAAAAGATGGCAGAGAGCAGAGTCGAGTCCTGGTGCTGGCTCAGCTGAGCCTGGGTCCTGCTCAGCCAGCTGTGCTGAGAA